CTTAGTGGAAACAATTTCGTTAGCCTTCCCTCAAGCATTAGATTCCTTTCTGAGCTTTGGGTTCTTGGATTGAAGAGGTGCAAAAGGCTCGAGCAATTGCCAGATCTTCCGCCAAATAAATCCTTATTAGTTGTACGTGTAGACGACTGTACTTCCTTAAAAAGGTTGTCAGATCCATCAAAGTTGAGAGAAGGAGCCAATGTGTATGATTTTCTGTCTAGTGGTGTTAATTGCTTCAGATTGGTTGAAGAAGAAGGCTGGATTAAGAGAATATTTGCAATGATATTGACAATGGCCAACTGTGATTGTAGCTTTATTTTATGGCATTATCTTTATTACCGTTTTGTATGGCCTGGAAGTGAAATTCCAGAGTGGTTCGATAATCGACGTGTGGGAGATTCAATAATTGTGGAGCTGCCTCTAGCTCCACAAACATGCAGTGACTGGGTTGGGATTGCTTTGTGTGTTGTTTTTGAAGATTCTGAATACTTGGAATATCTAGACTATGATTATTTAGAAATTCACACATCACCTGTGAGTTCAACGGGTTGGCCTAGGTTTAAAGTCGGGCATCTTGGGTCACAACACCTTTGGGTTTTCTATTTGCCTCGCAATGATCGCTGTTTCAGGGCTGACTCAAGCAGTCATCGATTTTCATTCGAAGGGTATTATTCTTTAGTCAGATTGGATAATTATAAAGAGCTGAAAACAAGGTCAATTATAAAGAAATGTGGAGCCCGTTTGGTGTACCAGAGAGATTTGGAAGAATTCAGCCGAATTCTGAAAATCCCGATGCCAGCAGCACTACATGCATCCGGTGACTAGGAGGCAGCCCCAATTGGTAGTAGTGGAAGTGGTAGCTTTGATGACCACGATGAACCAGGAATTGATTGCTCTAATGACGAGGATGAACAGAGAATTGGTAGCTATGAAAATGAACCAGGAAGTTATAGCTCTGATGACGACGATGAACCAATCAGCAAAAGATTAAAGAAAGTGTAAATTATTTTGTGCTTGCTTCAATCATTCAATGGGTCTGAATATAATACTGGAAAGGCTAATGACGTTGGTGAATTCTCAGAATTCATCTCAGAAGATATGCTGTTTGTTTTAGTTGTTTAATTTGCTCGCAAATTTATTATTCTGATTGAGTTGTTTGTTTAATCGTAATGTTTTCTTTTTCTTCTTCTTTCTCTTGTTACATTTCAGTTATATAGTTTTCCATTTCCAAAGACATAAATGCAGGATATGCTATAACGCGTATAAATACCTTCTTATACCCACCGTCTTACCCTTTTCGCACTTTCGCCCAACTCCCCGAACTCAGCGCTCTCTCTCATTCGCGCTCTCTTTCTCTCTCCCTCCCTCTCGTTCATTTTCTCCATAGAAATGGAACTGAGCTCTCTCTCCGCTGGGTTTCTCTCTCTCTCATATCAGTTAACGGTAAGCATCCTCTTCCTTTGAATTTAGGGTGTTTTTCTGTTAAATTAGGCTTATCGAATTGGGGGTTGAGGTTGATGATTCTTTCTGTTAAATTAGGCTCTGTTTTGATTTGGGAATTGAATTGAATTGATTAGGCTCTGTTTAATTTCTGTTATTTCTGTTAAATTAGGCTCGTGTCTAATTGAGCAAATACCTTCATCAATTGAACATCTTGTTGGCCTTGGTGAATTGCATATAAATTGTTGCAAAAGTATCTTGGGTCTACCCTTTGAAGTCTCTTAAAATCCTCTGGGGGCTAAGTTGCTCAAAGCTTGACAAACTTCCAGGGGACTTGGAGTCTTTAGAGGAACTTTATTTAGACGGAAGTGCTATGAGAGAGCTGCCGCTTGTTATGAAAAACCTCAAACGTCTAAGCTTTGCTAAATCATCAACTTCAAGGGATGGCATTGGGTGGGGCCTTGGCCGTTCATTTGGAATTAGAAAGAGTCATCCTGACCCCTGGGGTTTGGTGTTGTCTTCTCTAAATCATTTATGCTCTTTGACAAGTTTAAACCTAAGAGATTGTAATATTGGTGAAGGTGTCATTCCCGATAATATTGGTAACTTCTCTTCTTTAGAATATTTAAGACTTCGTGTAAACAATTTTGTTAACCTTCCCACGAGCATTACATTCCTTTATAAGCTTAAGTCTCTGGACTTGAGGCGGTGCAAAAGGCTTGAGCAATTGCCAGATCTTCCGTTAACGACATTATTTGTATATGTAGACGATTGCACTGCCTTAAAAAGGTTGTCTGATCCATCTAAAGCTGAGCGAAGGAGCCAATGTGTATGATTTTGAGTTCACTTGTCTTAATTGCTTCAGATTGGCCGAAGAAGGCTGGATTAATGGAATATTTGCAATGATAATGGTACACACACACTCGTGTTTTTGTTTGGATTAATAGAATATTTGCAATGATAAATACAATGACAATTCTTTTGCTATTCAATACAGATTCCTCTCTGTACCTTTTTGTATGGCCTGGCAGTGAAATTCCAGATTGGTTCGATAATCGAAGTGTGGGAGATTCAATAACTGTGGAGCTGCCTCTGCCACTACCTCCACAATCATCATGTAGCAGCGACTGGGCTGGGATTGCTTTATGTGTTTTTTTTGAAGATTCTGAATATTTGCAAAATCCAGCCGCCCTTGTTGGATATTTTTTTTCAAAATTCAACGTTTGCTGGGTCCATCTGAGACTTTTGAATTTAGGGATCATAGGTCATAACACCTTTGGGTTTTTCGTTTGCCTCGCAATCATCCCAGCTTCATGGATGCCTCAAGCAGTCATCGGTTTTCATTCGAAGCACATTATTGTGCATACAGATCTTCCAACACACTCAAAACAAGCTCGAATTTAAAGGAATGTGGGGCCCGTTTGGTGTAGGAGAGAGATTTGAAATAATTGAGCCGTTTGGTGTACGGTGACGAGGCAGGCCCAATTGGTAGTAGCGGAAGTGGTAGCTCTGATGACGAAATTGAACCAGGAAGTGATAGCTCTGATGACAACCATGAACCTGGAATTGGTAGCTCTGATGACGACAATGAACCAGGAAATGATAGCTCTGATGACGACGATGAACCAATCATCAAAAGATTCATGAAAGTCTAAATTATTTTGTGCTTGGTTCAGTCATTCAATGAGGTAGGAGGAGAGCTGTTCTCTTATTACATTTTGGTTATGTACTTGTCCAAAAAAAACTTTTCCATTTCCAAATGCATAAATGCAGGATATGCTATGATATTGTTAGGTTGTGAATCTTCTTAATTTCAACGTGTTAGAATACAGAGCTTGAGTAACAGATTCTTTTTCAACAATGCCAGTCTTTTCATAATTTTATATCACAATTCTAATCACCATATGTGGCGACTCAGGTGGACATGAACATCAATTGACCTGTATGTTTCGTACCATCAAACCGTTTGATATAATTAATTTAAAAATATATGAAAACTGTTGATGTTAAAAAATTAAAAGGCAATTAATTGTTTTAATCGTTTCATAAGTTGTTCGTAAATAAGTTGCTCAATTAATGATGAGGAAAAACAAGCAATTGGTGGCATTCTCAAAGTTCTAAATTTGACTGCGGCATCATACTATCTCTGTTCATAGTTCTTATATTAGGTAGGAGGAGAGAGAGTAATTCTCTTGTTACATCTTGTTTGTATAGTTTGCAGGATATGCTGTAATTTTGTGTTCCTCTATTTAAATTGCTCTGTCAGATTTTATTGTTTTCGGAATGAAATGGACCTAGTCACCTAGTGCTATTCTATAAACAGATAACTCCGATTAATGTAGTGAAAACAGACAAGTGAGCTGTCTGTAAGCCATGAAAATGCACACTCTAAATCAACATGTTTGGTAACTGAGGAGGTATCTTGTTGTGCTTAAATGGTTTCTGCTGTAGGTTCAAGTCCACATATTGTATATGTTTAATACAGTTTGTTGGTCAGGTTATCCCCAAATTTGAGATTTGCTTTAACTATGGGGTCCATAACAATGAAGTTGCCCAAATATTGCTCTAAGAATATAATCTTTTGAAGTAGTTTTGTCTGAAAATGGACTAACCCTGCATTAGCTACTTTTACAAACAGCAAACAGTAGAACAAATCCTAAAGTATATATATGCTATAGATATACAAAACAAACTTGCGCTCTGCTTCCAGGACTTCATTTTCCCTAAATTATTTGTCCTTTTCCTGCGTTCGAGATATTTTCTGAGTGGATATGACTTGGATTAACTTGTTAATTTCAATGTGTTAGAATATTTACTTCCTGTAGGCTTCGAGTAAAAGAACATTTTCAGAGCAACCTTTCAATGCCGTGCTATCAAACTGTTGCTATATTGAAATAATGTGTGGAACTTGTTAGTGTAGTTCTTAGTCTTCTGACCAAAAGAAAATTGGGGAAAATGATTAATAATGACGAAAGAATGTGTGTGAAAAATCTAGGAGGAAGGATGAAAGAATAAGAGCCAGAGAGAGGAATACTGCTTCTGTATATCTCTCTAGAGCTAAGGTTATTTACAAGGAATATGGAGATATGGACAAGTGTAGGCCTGATATTGAATCAGTCGTTTTCCTTAGAGTTTCTAGAGTAATGTTGAGGTCTTGTTATTGTGAGGTCAGCTCCATGCTTTCCTGTATGCTCTTAGTTCAGCTGACTATCAGTGTGAAGGTTAACAATGAGAATAGCTAGGCTAATGGCCAATACAAGAATAACAAATTTATATGTTTTAGGCATACAGTTTAGAAATAAGATTTATTTGCTACTTTCATTCTCAACGGAACATATAAATCAAGCAAAGTATGAGATTGAAGAAACAAGATAGCAGAAAATAGACTTGATTTGTTCCTTATTTGACATATTGTAAAATTCCTTTTGAAAAAATAAAATAAAATTTGAGACGTAAAACAAATTTCTGGGTCGTGTTGTAGGTTTTATTGCTTAATACACAGAATAACAATAATGTAACTTGAGATGCAATGTTTTGGCTCTTGAATTGTTTAATATATATTTCAATTGAAACTCGTCCCTTCATCTTACAATACCCACTTTTTATGCAGATGAATCGGGAGAAACTTATGAAGATGGCCGGTGCAGTTCGCACTGGTGGAAAGGGTAGCATGAGGAGGTGGGTGAAATTTCAGCTTGAAACTCCTTTTCTCTACCAAGTTGATTCACAGAGGCTGAAGTATCAAGTTTTAGCCTTAATGGTTTTGAGTTAAATATGTGTGCAATTGATAATTTATATGTGTGCCAGTTTCATGTCTGATATGCATTATATTGAGCACCTGGTCAAGTAGTTTACTTCATCAAATTATTGATTTACAATTTGAGTTCCTTATGTGAAGCAGTTAGCCTGATGGCATGTTGAGTGGATTGTTGTCTTTTGTTGTTTTACCGTGTTTATTTTATCTTATTCTTGTAATTTTTTTTAAGATGAGAAATACCTGAACTTTTAGAGTTAACTGCTCTTCCCGGGGGGAACAGAAAGTTTTATCTTTTATTAATTTGTATAACATGCAATCTTTATGTGGCAAACTGCGAACTTAAGTACAATAATCATTTATTGTATATGCAGCATTTGGTGCATTAGCTAGTCTAAAGTTCCTCGTTAAACCAGATGATCCCCTAGCTTTAAGAGCCCATAACAGAAAGGTTGTCTCCAATAGACTTGGTGTAATTGTTTTTCCAGTAGAGAGCTTACTCTGGCGGAGAGTGTGGTGAGTTCTTCTGCTCTTCTGTATTCGATATTATCCAATGGTGTGTTCTTCTTCTCTTTAGATAGGATTGTTATGCAATTGAGTAGGCAAAAAATAAGAAAGTAATTTAAGTAGTTAAAACTGAGAATTGTTGGAATTTACCTCAAATATGCCATCTAGTGCTCTCTACTTTGGAGAAAATGCTATTTCTGATGTACACAGCATTGTCGGGGAAGGGTCATTTGGACTTCGACTGCCCTTGAAGTCATTTTATGACTAGTTTTCAGTCATAAGTCTTGTACATTCCTGCAATTGTTTGTAATTAGCACATGTTTGTTGTTTGATCATCTTGTTTGTATGTGATTTTGTTTATTAATTTCTGTTCCCAACTTCAGAAAGGAGAAGGCTGTTCACAAGACAACTACCACAGACGACAAAAGGCTTCAGAGCTCCATTAAGAGAATAGGGCGTGAACGGTATCCCTTGAATCAAGTTAACATCTTTATGGATGATGTTGTCATCCAGTTCATAAACCCCAGAGGTGAAGCCAACATGCCAGACCAGAACTCTGATCTTGTAAATGATTATTTTGATTTACCTTTTCTAATGGTTGATGATTTTCCTTGTACATTTCAGTTCAAATACAGAATATGCCACTATTTGTTCTCTTACTTTTAAATTTGAAGTGATGGTTTAACTTGTTAACCATTTTGGTGTCTTCCATATTTTAAATGTAGTAGTAATTTAGAAAAATGGATAGAATATTGGTGTTGTGTTCTTCCTTAGTGTATTTACACAATGATTTTATTCCGAGGTTTGGATGTCAATATGTGCCTTGAATTGGAAATTTGTTTTCAATGTTGTATTATCTGGTAAGAGAACGCACATATATACATATTTAGTTGTGTTTGCGCATTGAGCCTTTTATTTGGCCTTCTTTAGATTTTGGTCATATTGGTTTAGAACTTGACATATGATCTTCTCTGTTGTAGAGTTGCAAGATATTCTTTCCAGTATATTATCAGCCACTTGGGTAAGTATGCATGTGATCCTTATGTTTTGTTCTTGATTTTGTCCTCAAGTTAAAGAGGAGTTGGGGAATTCCTCATGACACCTTTAATTATTTTCAGGGCCAGATAACTTGGACAATTTGATGAAACTGTCAGAGCAGTTCCAGAAGCAAGCGGCAAGCGCCTGGTGCTAGTGCTGCTGGTGGAACCACTGCACAAGAGGATGATGATGACCTGGTCCCTGTGCTTGTTGCTGGTGAGACCTTTTAAGCCTTCTGATTCTGGAGTTGTGGCAACGAAACCCGTCCACAAACATACTTTTATTTCACTCTACTTTCCTCATCAAGCTTAGCAAACATTGGGCTGTTTTTCCTTTTTTTGTTATCTCAATTCCTTTCTGCTTTAATATATCACTTTGGATAAAAATATTTATATACATTATAGATTTTCAGACAAAAATTGCATGCATGGAAAATACATGCAGCCGCCTATGCCCAAGTTATCCAAATGAATAAATCAACAAGTGTTAAAAAGTTGATAAAAAAAAACAAATTATATGCAGAATTTTACGCATATGGCTGTCAATGTTTCCATAATTAATGTGTGAAATACCTTTCTTGCCCTTCAGTATATATGTTAGAGGAAAAAACCCACAACCCACAACCACATTGTTGCCCTCATTTTTGGTAATGGGCGTTTAAAACCCACGAGCTTGTATGGTTTCTCATTTCTTCATCCCACATCTCCATTTTTCTTTGTCTGAAGCTCAATGTTCTGCAATTTCTTCTTCTGTTTTTCGGTGATGGGTAAAAATATTTAAATAATTATTCTAAATCAGATTCAACTCCGAAAACTCATAAATTATTGCAATTAAGACAAACATAATTATGTTTGTGAAATTTTTAAGTGAAATAAGAGTCTGTATGTGAAAGTGTCACCAGAATCAGAAGGCTTAAAAGGGTTTCGTTACTTGATATGTTTGTAACAAGCGAAAGTGGCTAAAATGGCCCTTTTGTAAAACATTTATTCTGTAAATAATATAAAATTATTAAAAAAATAATACAAGAAAATGAATTTGGTGGGGTGATCACAAATTGCTTAGACCAATAAGAAACAAAGAGAAGAAAGACCGGCCTATGCTGTCTGTTGGCGGTGGCGGTAATGTAAGGCTGGTGGCGTCTAGAATTTGTGTTGGTTTCCTTGCAAACAAGAACAAAAGCTTGAGTATTTTATTATTTGATGATGTAAGCTTGTTCTGCTGCTTGCGTGCGTCATTCTGGCCGACATCAACCGAATTGTTATCAACGGAATTGCTTTTATCAACGATATGGCTTTGCTTTTATCAACGGAATTGTTATCATTTAATTGTCATTATTTGTGTATGGAGTTAGAATTGCTTTCAGTGGATCCTTAGTTTCTTGTTTAGCAGGAGTCCAACAATGGTTAACTTTATTTTCAAAGTGTTGACAGGATATTACTTAGTAATACCGCATATCCCTTTTTTTTCTAATTGCAAAACCAAAGAGGACAACGTGAGAATATTGATAAACTATATTATGATTGAACAACTATTAAATTGGATATAGCTGTAACTCCAAAAGCGAGAGTGGCTTTTGATTGTGAGGGAGAGTGAGAGTTTTAGCTTAGAGAGAGAGAGAGAGATCGGCTATTAAATTTGAAATTCTCTTTCAGTGATGTAACTCCAAAAAAGAGTGGTTTTTTTTATTGTGAAGGAGAGTAGTGGCAAATTCAGAATTTGAAAGCCGGTTGGACGGAATTTACCTAATAAACTCAACTGTAGAAGTGAATTTGACATAAAAAAAAATACACATGAGATTGTTGTTGGATTAGTAAATCGAAACCAAAGATGAAAAAATCCAGCTGAAAGTCGTAATCATGCATGCACAAAGAGTAACTATATAAATAAAGGAAACTTATTAATAGCACGAACAGAAGCATCCTCTTCTATATAATGATGACAAAAAAAGGCATGAAGATACAATATATGAGAAGAAAACGTTGGAAAGAAATTTTTTTAAAAAAAAATACCTGATGAGGGAAAAAAAAAGGAAAAAAAAAAAATTCAGATAAGGGGTAAAAAAAGCAACTAGAAGAGTGAGTAACTAATATTTAATGAGGGTTGGCTTTTAAACTTTCCTAGTAGAGAAAAAGAAGTTTTTATACAATTTTATTGTCTACATGGGAACATATGCGGCTGGCTGGCTCTCTAGATGTCACACAGCCTAAGATGTGGCTGGCTGGGCGGCGTAGAGGTTTTTTGTTGTTGTTGTTGTTGTTGTTTTGTTGTTGTTCTTGGCTGCCACTGGGAGAGGGAGGGTTTTAGCTTTAATGGAGAGAGGGAAAGAGAGACCTCAACATCACGCAAGCATGGAGCAAGAAATGTTGGATTTAGAGATTCAAACTGCTACTGAAGCTCCAGCTATCTTCAAGAAAGCCATTCGACCCGTCACATTGAAGGTACATATATGTAGAAAAATGGTGTCTTCTCTCACTTTTTTTTTTATTTAAAAAAACTAAATCACATTTACGCAGTTTGAAGACGTGGTTTACAAGATCAAACAGAAGAATAGTACCAAGAACGAAGAGAAAGTGATCTTAAATGGTGTCTCGGGACTCGTTCAACCGGGGGAAATCCTCGCCATGCTCGGCCCCTCCGGGAGCGGCAAAACGACTCTCCTAACTGCACTCGGAGGCCGGCTAGGCGGTCGACTCAGCGGCGCCATAACCTACAACAACAAACCATTCTCAAACGCAATGAAAAGAAACACCGGCTTTGTAACCCAAGACGACTTTCTCTACCCCCACTTGACGGTCACCGAAACCCTGTTCTACACAGCCCTTCTTCGCTTGCCCAACACGCTATCGAAAGCCAAGAAGGCTATGCAAGCTGAGGCCGTGATTATACAACTGGAGTTAACCAAGTGCAAGAACAGCGTTGTTGGGGGTGAGTTCTTGAGGGGTGTTTCGGGTGGGGAGAGAAGAAGGGTTAGCATAGGCCAAGAATTACTCGTAAACCCTAGCTTGCTCTTCTTGGATGAGCCCACGTCGGGACTTGATTCGACGACGGCGCAGCAGATTGTGTCGGCATTGTGCGATTTGGCAGGTGGAGGAAGAACAATTGTGATGGCCATACATCAACCTTCAAGTAGGATTTTCTACATGTTTCATAAGGTGGTGTTGTTATCGGAAGGGAATTGTTTGTATTTCGGAAAAGTATCGGAGGTCATGGACTATTTTTCGGGCATTGGCTATGTCCCATTGGTAGCTATGAATCCTGCGGATTTTCTATTGGACCTTGCCAATGGTATGTTTCTTTTTTAATAATTAGTAGCTTCATTTTTTATTTCAGCTGTCAAAATCCTGAGATTTATGCAAGCATGGGTTATGGGTCATGGGTTCAGTAATTGCATGTAACTTAGGCCCATCTCTTCGTGCAATGACATCCTTGACTTTGGGCCATTGTTAATTACTGTTCGAACTTCCAAAGTGTTGAATAAATTTCTAGGAAATTCAATTTTGGACCACTGAGAATTTACTATTTTGTTTTTAGTACATGCGATAGTCTAAACTAAAAAAAATAAGGGTTTCACACACACACACAACCAAGATGTCATAGGACTTCAAACTTGAGACCTATGCTTTGCAAGTCAATGACCTTTTTCACTAGGCTAAAACCTGAGAATTTATTCTTATGTTTGGGGATTAGAAACCCCAAAATTGTCTTGGAAATGTTTGTAGCATTGTCAGAGATGCTTGGGGAATTTATTCTTATTCAAAATTCATGAACAATGCATTAATTATCATCCATATTGTAATTTTGTGTGATTTTTTTGGCTATAGTTTTACTTTTTCATTATTCTTTTGTGCCATGTTTGCTATATATAGGATTTTAGTGTGAAGTGTATATTAGATGTTAGTTTTACTTTTTGATTACCCTACAAGTGCGTCATGGTGCATGCCAGTGTGTCTACAAGTGTATATTAGATGTTTGTGAAATTGTTTGTGTGAGTAATTTTTGTTGCATTTTATATGTAGTGCAGGTCTGGCACCTAATGGATCGCATGAAAACAAAAGCAAGGTGAAGCAGAGCCTAGCCTTGGCCTATAAGCACAACCGTTTATATAATTTGAAAGCTCAACTTCAAGGGGAGCAACTTCAAGAAACCAACTCCAGCCATTTTCAAGATGGATCAGAAGACAAGAACTTTGCGAAATGGCCCACTACTTGGTGGCAGCAATTCTCTGTGTTGCTTAGGAGAGGACTGAAAGAGAGGAGGCACGAGTCCTTCTCTGGTAGCCAGATTAACCAGGTTGTGGTGGTGGCTCTTCTTGCTGGGCTAATATGGTGGCAGTCAAATATTTCCCACTTGCAGGATCGGGTAACATACACTTCCTTCCTCTCCCTTTTTCTAGCATTTGCAATGTGCATTTTCTTTTTTTTGGTTACATGGGGAATTTCAATATGCATTTTCATGGGACAGATTCAATCAAAAGTCTAATATAATTAGTGCTAATATCATTAGACTAGTATTAAAAGGGACATATTATCAATTATTATGACTAATGACTGATTGATACTTCACTTGTCACATATATGATCTGGTTTATTAATCTGGTTAAAAACAATGATTCATACCGTTCAGAGGGTATGATTTGTTTCCTTTTTCTGGGTTTGGCACAATAGTTGAAGATATAGGCTATTGGGTTTATGCCAAGCATGACATAAAGTATCACTTAATGGAATGCCTAAGTTTCAGCATGCAGAAGAAATTTTTTTCTGGATAAGAATTTACAAAGACATCCTAGCTCCTCAAACATAACCCATTTTAACAACTTTGAGAATCTTTTTCGGTTATATATGCAGACTGGGCTTCTCTTCTTTATGTCTGAATTTTGGGGGTTTTTCCCTCTGCTCCAAGCAATTTTCACCTTCCCTCAAGAGCGCAAGATGCTTGAAAAGGAAAGATCATCAGGCACATTCATGCTCTCCTCATATTTCATATCAAGGATTGTTGCTGATCTCCCTATGGAGCTTGCCCTTCCAACCCTATTTGTCACCATAACATATTGGATGGCAGGGCTCAAACCCACAGCAGGACACTTTTTCCACACCTTGCTTGTTCTGCTACTCAGTGTGTTAGTGGCTCAAGGCATGGGGCTTGCTCTTGGGGCTCTGGTAATGGACCAAAAAAAGGCCACAGTACTTGCATCAGTCCTCATGGTGTCATTTCTGCTAGCTGGAGGTTTCTTTGTTCAACATATTCCTGCTTTCATTGCTTGGATCAAATACATCTCCATCATTAACTACTCATACAAGCTCTTGCTGGGGTCTCAATACAATGAAAATGACACTTACCCATGTGATAGTGGGCTTTGCTTGGTTAGAGATTTCCCAAGTATAAAACATGTTGGGCTTAGTGGACAAATAAGTGCAGCGGTTGCTTTGGCCATAATGCTTGTGGGTTGTAGGCTAATTGCTTATTTAGCTCTCATGAGGACTGGGTCATAGGCTAATTGGTTTTTCCTTCCTAGAGAGTTAAACTGAGTGGTTAAAGGCAATTGCTTTGGTGTGCCATTTTGTTTATGTAAAGCATTAAGTTATGCTAGCCCTATAGTTATGTGCTATATAGACTCACAGCTAGGCTAATGGCGAACTCAATAAGAAAATTTGTATGTAGTTTAGGCGTAAGCAGAAGCTTAGAAATTAGATTAGTTTGCTACTTCAATTCTCGACAGCAAACTTGATGTATTAAAATGAGGAAGGAAACTTTGGTAAGTTAAAGTTTGGTAAGTGGAAATATGGAATCCATTGATCGATCTTTTACAATTAGAGCTGATGTTGGATTTTGCAGCAGCCATTAGGATTTCATCATGTCTGCTATTGTTTAATGTAAACATATAAAATCAGGAAAGGAAAGGAGAGGTGGTTAGTTCATGAGGGAAGAGAGAATAACACAGAAGGAGAGGCAAAAGAAACTCTGAGTATTTTACTTTATATGCAGATAGTGACAACATGAAGCTAAAAGAATTGCAAAGGCATAATTGGATGCAAGAGAAGCTGCGGTTGATACTTGAATCTTCTGATGAAGAGCACATGAAGCAGTCCCCTTCTGTCAACAATGTCTTGAATCTCCATCTGTCAACAATGTGAATTGAAGAGCCACTAGAAGCAGAGCAACTAACATGCATGAACTCCTTGAATTGCTTGGAGAGATCAATAAGAGTAGTGATAGTAATGCTTCTTGACTTGGTAGTGCAATGAGAGTATTCGTAACTGTAATGGTAAATTTGAAAACAACGTAAAATATTGAAAATTAACCAAGATATATTTTTGTTGACAACATGAGTTATGTGTTGCAAGTTGTTCTTTAACTTTTCACATGGACAAGATTGAATGTAAATTGTGCTGAAACCAGATAATGGCAAAATGCTTTTAGACAAAGCTAACCATATGACATCTAAAAACAAAGAAGGAAGCTTTCTGTAAGAATTCCTCAGGATTCCCACCCAAATAGTTAACGTAAGAAAAGACAAAATGGGAGACATTGTAGCATGTTTGAACGACACTAACAAGAAAAACTGAGTGCTTACGACGAGTTTTCCAACTCCCTTTTCCTTGTAGCTAGCTAGCTTGTTCTTCTGTTGTTTAATAACTTTTCACTAACCAAATTACCAACAAAAAAAAGTAAAAGTAAAATAAAACTGGCCGTTGGAGTTTAAAGATTTGGCGAATTGCTTGTTCTCATCAGGTGTTTGCACTTTGCAGCAGCAGATTTCCCGGAGGAAGCACTTTCCAATGGCCTTGAGCAGCACCCAAAGAGCCTCTGAACAATCAACTCCTCGTTGGAAACACGATGTGTTTTTGAGTTTCAGGGGTGAAGATACCCGCAAGGGTTTTATATCCCATTTATACCACGAACTGGACTACTGGCAGGCAATTAAAACCTTCAAGGACAACCGAGATCTTGAAAGAGGGACAAGTATTTCTCCAGAGCTCTTGCGTGCGATTGAAGAATCGCAGCTTGCCATCATTGTTCTCTCACCAAACTATGCTTCTTCCACCTGGTGCCTGGATGAGCTTACAAAAGTTGTGGAATGCATGGAAGCCAGGGACACAATTTTGCCAATTTTTTATGGTGTGGATCCCTCTCAAGTACGAAATCAAACCGGGAGTTTTGCAGAGGCCTTCACTGAGCATAAAGAAAAGTTAATTACCAAAAAGAAGGTGGAGCAGTGGAAAGCTGATTTAACAAAAGTGGCCAATCTTTGTGGGTGGGATTCAAAGAATTTTAAGTAAGTATCCATGAACAACTTTCCCATGCCTTAACGAGCTATATACTTTACCTAACCTTGTTATATATATATGCCTTGTGGTTATTTTACTCTTCATCCTTGTAGGTGTGAAAGAGAGCTTATTGAGGACATCGTCAAATGTGTGTGGAGGAAAGTGCATCCTTCACTCACCTTGTCAAATTATCCACATAAGTTAGTCGGAATGAATTCTGGCCTTGAGCGACTGGGTATACTACTAGCAACTGATGCAAATGATGATCGCTTTATAGGGATAACAGGGATGGGTGGAATTGGGAAGACAACCATTGCTGAACTAGTATTTGAGAGAATTTCCCATCATTTTGAAGTCAGCAGTTTTCTTGCTAATGTTAGAGAGGTTTATGCAAAACATCGTACTCTAGTTGACCTTCAAAAACAACTTCTTTTCCCAGTCTTGAAGGAAGAGATTAAACAAGTTTGGGATGAACTGTGGGGAACCTTTTTCACTAAGAAATGCTTACACAACAAAAAGGTTCTGCTCATTCTTGATGATGTGGATCAATTAAATCAACTAGAAATATTAGTTGGAAAGAAAGACTGGTTTGGTATGGGGAGTAGAATCATCATTACAACTAGAAATGAACGTTTGCTAGTTGAGCATGGTATAGACATATCATATAAAGTTGAGGGATTGAGTGATGATGAAGCTCTTGAGCTCTTCAGTCTGAATGCCTTTAGGAAAGATCAACCTGAGGAAGGTTTTCTGGAATTGTCTAAGCGTTTCCTAAATTATGCCAAAGGCCTTCCATTAGCCCTTAAAGTTTTAGGATGTTCATTGTATAACGAAGGTCAAGATGTATGGATTAGTGCACTGGATCAAATAGAGAAATGCCTAGATTCAAAAATATTTGATCCTCTCAAAATAAGTTATGATGGATTAAACAAGATGGAGAAAATGATTTTTCTTGATGTTGCATGCTTTCATAAGGGGAAGGGCAAGGAGCAAGTAATTCAAATACTGGACCATACCCGCAACATTTCCAGTCGTAAGGGCATACATGTTCTTGTTGAGAAATCTATGTTAACTATTGAGAAATTTCATGATCCTTTTTCAATCGACATCATGGAGATGCATGACTTGATGCAAGAAATGGCATGGGAAATTGTTGGTCAAGAGTCTAAAGAGCCTGGTGAACGCAGTCGGTTGTGGCTTCACAATGACATTTCTCATGTATTCATGAACAATACGGTAAGAAATTATGTAGAAATACCAGGTCCGGAATAAAATATTATTTCTTTTAATACGATATTGGACTTGAGTCTGAAATTCACTAAATTTTCTTAATTTCTTAATTATTAGGGAACGGGAGCAATTGAAGCCATAGTCTTGCGTTTGCTCAAATTAGAAGAGGTGGACTGGAAATGTGAAGCCTTCTCTAGTATGCATGGACTAAGGTTTATCGAATTTGATAATTTGATCTTTTCATCATGCCCAAACTTTCTGCCACATTCCTTAAGAAGTATCCATTGGAGTTGGTATCCTTCCAAGTTTCTCCCACCAAGTTTTCAACTGAATTCACTTACTGAACTTAGTCTGCATCATGGAAAACTTGTTCGGCTTTGGGACGGAACAAAGGTAAGATTATTTAATATATCCCTTTATCAATTTGTTTAAAATTTTTTTTGAATCAAGTTGAAGTTTCTGGAAGATAATTATTATCCTACCATTTTCTATGTATTTTATACAGGACTTCCCCAACCTGAAATATATGGATGTTAGTTACTCTGATAAATTAACCAGTACCCCAGATTTCACAGGTCTACCAAAGCTTGAGAAGTTGAACCTTGAGGGCTGTAGGAATTTAGTTGAGATCCACCCATCCATTGCAGTCCTCAAAAGGCTTAGAACTTTGGATTTCAGTAACTGTAAAAGTATTAAGAATCTCCCAAGTGAGGTAAAAATGGATTCTCTTGAATATTTTAGTCTTCGTGGCTGCTCAAAAGTGAAAAAGATTCCACAGTTTGCAAGACAAATGACAAAATTGTCAATGCTTTTTTTAGATGGAACTGCTATTGAGGAAATACCTTCATCAATTGAATGTCTGGTTGGCCTCATTGTACTGGATCTATGTGACTGCAAAAGTCTCTTGGCTCTTCCCGAGTGCGATTTGTAATTTGAAGTCTCTTGATACGCTCTGCATATCCGGATGCTCAAAACTTGACAAACTCCCGGGGGAGATGGAGGCTTTAGAGTATCTTGACTTGGCGGGAACTGTTTTAAAAGAGCCGCTTGTTATGATGAAAAACCTCAAGTTACTATCTTTACGTGGGTCAATTGCTAAACCAAGGCGCTGGTCAGGCCTTGCTGGCTTATTTGGAATTAGAAAGAGTCCTGAGCCTCGCCCTCAGCCTTGGGGCTTGGTGTTGTCTTCTCTTAATCGTTTATGCTCTTTATTGGAATTGGATCTAAGTGATTGTGATCTAAGTGAAGGGGATATCCCCAATGATATCGGTTGCTTGTCCTCTTTACGAGAGTTATATCTTAGAGGAAACAATTTTGTGAGCCTTCCTGCAAGCATTAGATCCCTTTCTCAGCTTTGGTGTTTTAACTTGGAGAGGTGCAAAAGGCTTCAACTACTGCCAGATCTTCCATCAAATAACGAATTACACGTAAATGTAAATGATTGTACTAGCTTAAAGAGGTTGTCATATCCATCAAAGTTGAGCAGCAGATTCGCCAATTTGTATGATTTTACTTTCAGTGCTGTTAATTGCTTTAGATTGGTTGAAGATGAAGGCTGGAGTGCTAGAATAATTTCAACAATAATGAAATTGGCCACTAAGGTACACACACACACACACTCTCTCTCTCTCTCTGAATATAATAATGGCAGAAACTATATTGGGGGAGGTGGGGAATTGAACCTAGAATCTCGGGTGCAAGGGAAATATTCTTATACCACATTACCTACAAATCCCTTGCATAATATGTAATGGTTCTTTTGATGCAGGGAATGTATCCAGATTTGTACGATAAGTATATTGTATTCCCCGGAAGTGAAATTTCAGAGTGGTTCAATGTTCAAAGTGAGGGACATTCACTAAATGTGGAGCTACCTCCAGAATCATGCACCAGCTGGCTGGGGGTTGCTTTTTGTGTTGCTTTTGCAGATCATTGTTAAGCTCATAATTTCATACATATACATGCCCTATTTACTTACTTCTTTTGCTTAGTTTCTTAGATTTCTAAGTTATTTGCCTCCCTTTGTGTGTTTTGTAGGCAAATAGAGCAAGAGAGCATAATTCATGCAATTCAAGCATGTTAAAGCCTAATTTGGATGAATGGATGAAGAGCTTAAAAGACAAACTCATTTTGGCTACAGCCCCCTCCCAGTCCAGTTCCGTAG